TCAGGAATTTCTACATTCCACTTCTAGTTGGGTGATATCTTATCTGCTCCTGGAGTTACAGATGAGCTTGTTTATGCCTATGTTTAAGAGTTGTGGGTGGATGTTCAACAAAGAGTGAGCTTGGCTTTTTGGTGCCTTTCTAAGCGGTATGTGGATGGGTAACCAATGGGTTGCGCCGTGTTGTGGTAGAAAAAGACAGAACGATGATGAAAGCGGTAATATAAAGAGTGACATAGGTTTCCGACCACATAATTCGCTTTTACGGTTGGAAAAATGGAACGGATGAACAGTGGGGAGGTTGGTGAGGTGTGAGAAGGTCGTCGATTCTGGCCCCTCCCCTAACTAGACCTTCCAAAGATAATTGCAGGGTGAATCATAGCAGAAGGTCACTTGTTTGGTGTTGATTGTTCACAATACATTCCCATTCTGCGTCCCCATGGGAGTTTCGAAAACTCTCATGAAAGCTGAAGGCTCCAAAACGCATCATGTCTTATTATTTCATTGTAACAGTCGAAGGTTCTCAGGTGAAGCAATGACTTAATTCATTCTGTAATTACTGCCAACTCTGATCTCAGCATGAAACTTCCGTGCCTAACAATTATGGTAAGGAAAAACGGTCCCCTATCTAGTTCTGTGATCACCTCAGATTTTGCACAATGGTCATGGTTCCAAATAAAAGTGGGACAGAACTCTTCAAACCACAGTTCATTTATTTGATGGGAGAGTGATGGAGCTGCGTTTTTAGGAACGAAGCGCTATCACTAATCGAGACTTCAGCAGTCTGGGTATTCATTTGGCCGTAATGAAAGTCAAAGGGTAAGGAAGGAGCAGCTCAAATTCATACCATGAGAAAAATGTCTAGCTTAAAGGCACAACCCAGGCAGAGGTCGTGTGAACGCTTCTTTCGGTTTGTAGTATAGACCCTAGAGGACAATCACAAATGTGGCGTTCCCGTGCACGGAAACCAACCGACAAGAGCGCTTGGGCCTTGCAAAGTAAGCTGCTGAAGCTGCAGATTTTTTTCTCTTATCAGGCTGTTGTCTGGCGCTCTCTCATCTGTAGCGCTCTCTCGCCTCATACTCTCCTCTCCGCGCTTAGTCTCTCATTCCCTTAGCACAGCCGATTAGGAAGGTGAGTGAGCCCAACCTAAGCGTTTTTGACGGATTCTTTTCCTTTTTTCTTTACTGCCGGCCCACTTCGCACCAATACATTCGCATTCGTGTGCAAGAGCCACACCAATGTGATCCTGGGGCATGCCTTTAAGCGTGAGGTGACTTCGAGTGATATCAACAGCAATTAACTCCTCCAGTCAGCAATAGTGCAGATCTTCGCTGCTGGAGTTGCATCTCTTGTCTCAAGGGCTTTAATCCTTGTCATAAAATGAAAATAATGTGCTAGGTGGCTGACCGCAAGGTTACTATGGCACATCACTGGTACTGTAAATATGAGCCATTACAATTTTTATAAAGAGAATGACAGATGTCCTCTCTTGCCCCATATAAAGAAGGCACGGTAGTAGTGATGACAAGGATATTTGGCCTGAAGAAATTTCGAGCATTTTTCCTAGATTAAGTAGGTAAGTAGATTTTTAGTAACACTAGAATAGAAGCTACAGTCAGCTTTTAACTGCCCACAACTGCAACTACAGCAGCGTCTCCCATTTTCAAGGACTGATGATGATTGAGCATGATATTACGGCAACTATGAAGAATTTCTCATTATTGGGGATTACTTAGAGTCGCTAGATAGAATAATATGCTACAAATTTAAGGAATATACTACGGTGCCGCACTCGAAGAGAATTCTTGCTTTTCAAGTCCTGCAAGAACAAATAAATTGAATCTTAGGTGCTTAAAATGATAATATATGTACTTTGAGGCATGGTCATACAATAGTTGGGTTCGTATGAGTTCATCGCAAGACTCGGACTTCATACCGCGAGAGCAAGAGTTGAAGCATGAATCGCATGGCGTCGCTCGTAGTGATGAGCAGGACTCGTCAGAAGTCCCGCCTGCCTCGCGCCACGGCTCCGCGGCGTGGCAAGCGGCGAGCCGTGGCGACGATTCTGTTGACCTGCGAGTGAGATAGACGCAATGCCTGTTCTTCCATGGTTTCTATCTTACTTCACGTCAGTCTTCTTGAAACCGAAACCAAGATGTCAACAACTTTTTATTTGGCTTACGTTTCGGCCTCGTCGCCTTCGTCAGAGCCTGGAAAGCCAAAGATCAGTGTGATTCATCCCCAAACATCATTTCAAACTTCAAGAATGTCCCCTAGACCTAGTGGTTGTAGGAAGGCATCACAATCACAAAACACTTGGACTACATCACGAACCACAGAACCATGCAAGATTTACTGAATGTCGAACATGGATATTATACCTTTACTAGTAGTCGTTCGGAAAGGAAGTTCAGGAAGTTCGTGACACTTTTGACTGCCGATATATCTTCACCGCTCAAGCTATGGGGCTTCATTCGGCCTTCGATCACGGGAAATTCGCAGGTAACAAAGAATAACTAACGTTGGCTGAACAGCAAACATTAAGGGATTTGTTTTTAGCTTTTCCCCAGCTTTTCGAAAATTTGGAAACAAAGCACCCGCAGAAAGGTCCATTGTCATCTTACGCTAAAAACACAGTGTCATCAACGAAAATCCATTTTCAGTTCCGACGATTTTCTTCAGGGGCACCGATCCCTATCGAATTGGTGCGCCATTTGGTTAGATAATGAAACTGAGAGTAAGAAAACCGTCAGTAGGTAGACTTTCGTGAGAATCCCATAACTCCGCTGTTCATAAAGATTGAATCGGAAAGATGTTTGGGCTTTACTCGCTCGGAAAACATGCATGAAGGCTGCTCCATCCACACGCATGTCAAATATGATACGTAAGCTTGAATTAAACAACTATGTAACAATTTAGTTTGAGGACAATCGTTAGTCAATAAATAAAGCACACGTGTTCCGGAATCAAATGGAGCTTCAAATTCATCAGCATTATGGCATGTTCAGGTTGATAACACCAACGTCGTTGAATTTCACCACCTCCTGGAAATAGCACATTATGACTCGCTATTTAAAGATCTCTACGGATGGGTAACTTGAATAAATAGGCAAAAGACGGAGTGAGGATGGGTGACACCGCATGGTGCATCACGCCAACGCATAGAGGCAATAATAATGTTTTAACTTTTGCTCACCTTCCCAAGAGCGTTTATACACTTCGAATCCTCAAAATATATTACCCCATTATTCAGAGTACCAGTAAATTTTTGAGTAGCTGTTGTTTTAAGAAAAAGACGAAATGATACGACTAGTTTAACAGTATTACTAGTCAGATTTTGGCTGGAAGAAATGGAGCGCAGTAAAGGCCATAACCAGGCCAGAACCAGTAACGAGATTCTTCAGACTGCAGGATAAGACCTTAGAGGATCATCATGAGATGTGGCTTTCCGTATACGAATACCGGACAAGCAGCTAGGCTTGGCAGAGTCAGCTGCGAAGCTGCAAATTTTTTCTTTCATCGGTTTGTGTCGGCGCCTCCTGTCATGTCTTGCGTTTCTCTCGTCGCATACCTCTCTTTCTCCGCGCTTGGTCTCTCAGTGCTTAGAAGTCGATAACAAAGGAGAGTAAGCTTGCATCTAAGCGTTTTTGAAGATTTTCTCATTTTGTTTACCCCGGCCGCGTCGGGCACCAATCAGTGTCTATTTGTTGTGCAACAATCTCTGCAATTTGATCGTGGGGCATGTCTTCAAAATGGTTCCCTTCCCTGCAGCAATTTTATTGTAGCATAGTGCTGTTTGCCAGTCAGTAATTTCAGCACGCGAGGCAAAGAATGCACAGTTCTAATCCCGATGCCAGCGGAGGCTGCAATGCTGCCACGGCGTCTGAGAGGTCCAGCCACAATTGGGCTGTAGTTTGCCTAGATCCCAAGCTATATACAACTTGGAAAGACTCAGGTACTGGAACGACACCGAACGGCACCGACACTCAAAGGGCCATGTCAGTACAAAAAAAAAAGAAGTCGTGAATCAGCTGGTTGCCTATTGCATATCAAAATCACAACAATCAACTAAAATGAAAGCAAGGGCGCACAGGTAGGCGAAAGAAGAAGGCCTGAAACAGACTGTCGAAAACCGAAAGAGTGACGTAATCTGCACAGGACGTCGCGAGTTTACGGTCAGATGCTTGGAGTTAAGGCGGGGAGCAGTCACGCTGGCTTCCGCTGGATTTGCTACCTCGCGTTATCAATCGATAAGGTGTGAGGCAGTAATTGTTGGACGAGTGTAAGCCCATGGAAGATATGATACGATGAGATAAGAAGGTGCGGCTGCTTGATAAGAGGTGCACTCCAGAATGAAAACGGGACGATAACGATAACGGTATCATATCTAGCACGCTCTTATCGCACCCCTTTCCACATCGATAAGTCTTGGGTTTTGCTGAACTTGAGTGAATTTCGGCTCCTTATCACTTCATTGATAAGGGGCCACTGCCACTGAAACTTTACGTGTTCTAACATTGGGCAGGACCTCTATCCACTCCAATACATAGCTTTCCTTATCGTTGCCATGAAAATTATCGTGACTGCTTCCTTTAAGGAGCATGGGCTTCGTAGAGCATACGTAACACCTGACTACTATGCACAGCAGCTTGATGCCTGCGTTTCATGTAATAAATCTCACTAACGCCATCTAACTATGTCACACATCCCATTTTCACTCGGAGGCGGAACGTTCCGGAGGGGGCGGGCAGTGAGTTTACAGCCTCCCTACTTCAGAAAGTAGCGCATCTTTTGCGCCATATATCGCTTCCTTAGCCATCTGGGTACCGTTTCACTAGCGGATGCACTTCCTTGGTATACACCCACTATCGTACTCACTGCCTTTAGGTAAAGCCTCACCTTTGTTCGCGTGACGTCCGTTTTCGAGCTTGGTAGTTTGATTTTTCGTTTCTGAAATATAGAAAGGGATTGGCATCGCGGTATAGGGAAATTCGCAAGCTATTCTATAAGACTAAGAGTAGAAGTGAAAAATTCAGAAGTGAGCTTCATCCCTCATCGTTTTCACGCAGAAGTTTCTGAAGATTCAGCAACTTCTTTGATGACCTATATTACAGGGAAAGTGACATATTATTATATTATTAGTACTTACCCTCCCTTTACAATCGCCTTCGATTTCCAAAAGCGGTGACAAGGGTAATACACGTGCTGCTGTTCCGGTGAGATAGAACAACCCAGTCGAATCGGTCGTGTTTGACGCCAATAATTTGTCGGAAAATGGAGCTGAAAATCATTTCTTCTCGTGTACCGCACTTTTCTCATAACTGCTCAGAAAAGCTCACGTGTCCTTTTGTCGTACAATTGTACGGTACGATTTCCGAGCGGTTTCGTGCCACATCGCAAGGGTTCCTCGAATTCCTAGCGACTGACTCAGAAAAGCGTGTGATAGCAAGGGAAAGGAGAGCAAAAGCAAAGGCAACCTCGTTCTCATGTTCGCACTGAATTACCGAGTTTGAATGATTGCAGAAAAAATGCTGGTGAAAATCCGGTTAGTGGGGAGGCATTTGATATCCTGTCCTTGGTCCTAGAAAGCACTCCTTTGGGCTCTCTAAGCCTAAGGATGTGATAATATGTGAACGATTCATTTGGAACGCACTTTTGATAACGGACCAGGTAGATGTCCTACATTGAGGGCAGGTGTGGAGTGCAGGTGTAGAATTCTTTACGAAGCCATCCATATTATTGAAGCTCCCCCACCCTTACAAGGAGGTCTTTCAGGGCAAGCCGCGCTTTTTGGAAACGGTTTCTTGCATATTGTAGGGACGCATGTATGGACCACAAAACCATGTTTCGTTTTCGCTGAACGGTTTTAGTAGTATCAAAAAGTGGTGAATGATACCCTTGATGGTTCGATCCCCGCGGCGACTAATTTTGCAATCAAGGTTGGCGGCCACTTGTTGGCTTCAAAATGGTCCTGACGATGAATTGACATCTGATTTTGATATTTAGCGCGATTTGGCACCAAACCGTAGGCGCCAACAGAAATGCAAAATTTAGCCGCAGCGGGGGATCGAATCACCATGGGGATCATTCGCCATTTTTTGATACTGCCAAAGCGCTCAGTGGAAATGAAACATGGTTTTGTGTTCCCTACATGTGTCCCTAGAATATGTGGGAAACCGTTCTGAAAGAGCGTGGCCTTGCGCTGAAAAGTTAGACCGAGACAGCTTCATTACCCTGGTTCATGACCGTTTCCTTGGACATTGTAGGCCGAATAATGGAAGCACTCCAGGATACTCCTACACTTACCAGCATCAAGGATTCTTATCGTAATAAATAATCGATTAGGTATGTCTACACGAGCGTTTTCATTCCTATCTTAAGTATTGGAGAACACAATGGAACGGCTCACTGGAACCAGGAACGAATCAAAACGCAAATACTACAAGGAATCGTTGAAAAATCTGAAAATTCAGGGACGAAGAAAATGTCGACTGTTTAAGATAAGGTAGGATCGTCGAAAACCTCCTGACATAGGTAAGTGTACTTGAAGTTTTGCTGAATTTTTGCTTGAACCGGCAGCTGTGTGATCGTCTATGGCATCTCCTGCTCATTGAAACTCTTGAACGACAGCGAAAACCATAGCTCAGTGCGAGTTATACTTGGTGACGCTGTTGAGCGTGATCGGTGGAGAAGGGCTTGGAGATGGCCTTAACCACATCCTGCAGCGCGCTTATGGGCCTGAATCATAGTGCTCACTGCCTTCAAAGCCAGGCCAAGGGATAAAGCTTGTGATATGAGCGCACCGCAGTGATTACTGGAGGACGGTCTAAAAGTGGGCAAGAAGCCTGAGCACAATTTGGGAATCGCTGGACATTAAGGCCTCGCCTTCAAAAAAGTCGTATGTGAACATTACGAAGCAGAGAGATCACAAAAGCAAACACGCGAGAGATCACGCTGTTTGAGAGAGCGCGCCAATATCGAGGTGGATGGGAAGCGTTGCAACGGGGTCGATGGTTGCAGGCCAGTAAGGATTAATTGCCCTGAACTGCGCAACTTTTGCGGCAATGCTGGAGTGATCTCACCTTATAATTTCCCTCGCGTATCCTTTCTCACAATTAAGCTAATCTCCGGGTTTGCCTTCAACACAGAATTCCGAATTGACCCTTAACAAAAGCCCTACCCTTTCAAATCTCTTTTTGCAGGCAAGAAACGGGCCCAATACGGCTGTTCTCTCTTGTATATATAAGATACGGGACGTAAGAATTCTACGATATTCACATAGATATCAACAATATATACAGCATTTCGGTAGTTCTCTATTAGAACACAGATTAGGAACACAATATTTCCCTCTATAACAATGATAGATAGGCGGAGAAGAGTTCTAGCACCTATTGAGAGACCAAGGTCCCTACCTGAGTTTACATAACCATCCCTAAGCACGAGAGCTGTATATTGCTATCCCATATAAAACCGCAGTGTCCCTAGGATGAAAGGCTGCTTATGACCTGGAATAGAAAGTCAAAACGAGTGTTTTTCCTATAACTCAACCCGTTCCGCGCACGACGCACGACGCAGGATTTTATTCCAGATCGCGCATCTGTGTAAGCGTGCCAATCATGACACACACAGCACGCCGCCTATCGATAATATGATAATAAAAATGAAAATAAATAAAAATAATTTGCAGTCAGATTTTCTAACCCCTGGTGCTGATTGAACCCAAGGCTTAGCATCTGGCCCTGGCACAATCGCGCCATCAAAGTCGTGAGATCTTGCCGACACCTTCGCCGCTAGTGCTCAATCCTTCGACCTATTCTGGCTTGTACTCTTAGAAAGGAGACCGTTTCGCCCACTGCCTTTTTTCTGAGAACTACGATTGCCCCTCAATTGGGACCGAGTCATGAAACTGTGGTGTACTCGGTGTACTATGGATAGTAGTAGCAATGCACATGCCTTCCATTCCCGACGGTTGCATGCGCATTGTTTATGACTCTTCCCTGTCCGAACTGTGAAATACTACACCCGATATGATTCATCCACCCCACGCGTAGCACACTGTTTTTTTTTTGGGAGGGGGTGGGGAGTGGAGAAGGGGAGAGGGTTTAACTACCGAAATCACCAATTTTCCTGCTGACTGTTGACACCCTCGCCGGTGCTACCATTATCCTCATCGGAATTCAGCGAATTATTGTTTGGCGCCAGATAGTCACAGTAATTTCTCAAAAACAACCAAAAGGAGTGGGATTACTGTGCTGGTAGTTTTCTATTGAAATCACCGAGGCCACTTTGAACTGAGCCTTTCATAGCATTAGCTGGCTGGAGATTGACGAGGTACAAACGAGAGAGAGGCATCAAGGAAAGGCAGAAGGTAGGTCTGGTTCACCGTTCATCAGCATTTTTCTATTTGTTGTTTACTGAGCAATGTTGCCTTCTGAGTTCGGAATGAAAGTGGCGAGCAAGTCAAAACGGTAGCAACCATCTAGTAGAAAGGTGCAATCCGCATAAATCCAAAGGTCTCGCCATACTCTGCCTGGAGGCAGATGGCATGACAAATTGGTCAACTGCCGGGAATGGGAGTATAGGAGTATAGATGTGCAGCGGTGAAGACAATACTAGAGGAGACCGCTTAAAAACGAAACACGGGACCCTCTTCAGCCTTCTCTTTCGTTCTTTTTACATTTCAATGCTTGCTCTTTCCTGTGTATAAATGCAACTGCTGATTTCTCAACGTGACGCGCGATGATTTTCCACAATCCTCAATCTGGAAATGGAGGAAAAAGGATGGAAAATCGTCAAAAACACCAAATACGAGCTTTCTTGCTCTGGGCTCGCTTATAAGAGGCAGGAAATGAGATAGTGTGAATCACGGAGATGGTAAAGAAGCTCGAGTGAAGAGAGCATAGCAGATGAACACTGCGACGTAGATTAGATATCGAACGGTGGACGGGCTCTGGTTCCCTTTGCCGAGATTTGATTGAAGGAGACAGGACTCCGGGAGACATCCCGAGAACCGGTGGCTTGCTCGGGGAGAGAGAGATACCTCACCAAGGAAGGAGTCTTTCTTGCCTCGAAGGACGCATTAACTCTTACGAACCTGATCTACACCTCAGTGCTCTCTCTTCTTAGGCGAGCCTGGTTTAACTAGAACAACACAGTGGGATTGGAGGTTGGTTGGGCTCGGGGCAAACCTACCACGGGATTCAGATCGCCCACTCCCTATCCCTTCTTAAACTGATAGCCGGAAAGAATAGGCATTTTTCACACTACAGGAAACAGCTGACAATACCATAGAAAATGACTTGTAATTAAAAACGCAGGGAAATTTCGGCAAATGTCGATCGATCACAAATGTGCTTAATAGCGCACTGCAAGAACTGAGGGATGCCAGTAAAGTCAACAGTATGAAATGATACCCAGCTTTGCTGAACTCGGGTAAACACATTGATTGGTGCGCATGGCAGATTTGGTTGAAAGACAAATCATATGGGCATATACAACCGCGCTTGACTCAACGACACCTCGAATTCTGTTAGCTTCGGGGGTAATCGTTCGGGGTGAATAGGAGTGCTTTTCTAAGTCGAGCGTCTTTTCTCTATATCTATTAGAGGAGGGAATTTTCATCAACGAGAGTGGTCATGGGTCTATTCCAGTTAGGGGGGGGGCATCATGGTGCGGTGACTCCCAAAAAGCTACGGTAACTCTGAGCCAGGGGGAGTGTAGCCAGCCTAGGGGGGGGGGTGAGGGCAGTCACTTGACATGCGTGAGAAGCTGGAATGTTCGAGTTTACATTAGCTCGCCGAGAAACTGCATCATGATGCCCCCCCCCCTAACTGGAATAGACCCTGCTTCTATTTATGTTCCGCTACCGAACATGGGGAGCGCTAAGGCCGCATGAATATGGCCTATGCATAGCCGCAGGTATTCAGAACATGATTCATTCCCATATCTTTGTTCCCTCCTGCTTTGAGCCGCATCTTTGCCACTGGCGACATTCAGTCACAAAGTGTGGGTGGGTCTATTTCACTAGTCTGCGCTCGTTCGCGGACGCGGCGGACAGTGCGAAAGAGCGTCAACACGCGCCTGGCGCATGATGAGCAGGTGGCGTTTGACTATGCGCCAGTACTCGTTTTGTGCGTCAGAGACGCGATGTAGCAGGCTTTCGCACTGTCCGTGCAGAAGGCGCCCTGCGCGCGGGCTGCAGGATTTGAAGCCAGCCTGGAGACAAAACGCATCCTCCCCGGGCGCGAATCGAACCTGTAGCTATCGCTTGCCGGGTTACTACAGATGGATTCGTGAAAAAGCTGGAGTTACAGGTTGAGTAAAGTCACACACGGATAACAACCAGGGAGGTCTTCTTCACACCTCACTGTTTTCGTTCCCCCTTTTTCCCATTGAGCTATGCTCGCCCACAAAGATACTTATATTCTCAAGTTCATTGTAAACAGCTAATAAAATACAGTAGCGCTTAAATGCCTTCGGTGAAAC